TTATAATTACTTTTACTTACAACTTTTAAATTTTACTTATAATTAATATTACTTTAGTAACTTTTACTTATAATTAATATTACTTTAGCTATTAATCCAAAACAATAATTAACAATTAAGTAATTACTTACCATCTGAAACATTGCAATTCCAATTCAGCATCTCGTAATGCGACAATTGCTTGAATTGGTGTCACCTTTTTCTTAACATATTTCTCGCGTTCCTTCATGCATCGATAATAGCTATTCAATTTACGATTATAACCTTCTTTTTGCTCATCGCTTAATTCTACTCCTTCAATTATTCTATAAAATTATAAGTTCGATAAAAAATTTTACAATTTTTACTTCAAAATAAATTAGCAAATAATCTTACAATGAAAATTAATTTTGAAATATTTACAAATACTAATATTGTTAATGCGTAAAATTAATGTTAATATTATGTTATTTAATTTTTAACAAATTTTGATAAACATATAGTATAATAAAAAAATATCTAATATATAGTAATATAAATAAATATCCAATAATTAATTTAACATAAGAATTTATTCGCTTTATTTCTTTCAAAAAATTATTGATTATAGCAATTACATAATTATAATTGAAATTTTCACTGTAATTTCTTCAAGAAATGGAATTTATTTAAAAAATAAAATTTTGTTTAATAACTCAAATATTTAATGCTTCAAATTTAATATTTTTAGTAGATATTTTAATATAACATAAGCTTTTTTATTACTATGACAAAATTGAGATTTCTTTAACAAACAAACAAATTCCATCGATTTTCATCTCAGTAAAATACTATCTGTAGATATTGTAAAATTTTTATGAAAATTAACAAAAAATCAAAAACATAGGAGGAAAAATTGTAGATGGCTTACCTAAATGATTTTATAATAATCATGATTACTAGCTTTATTTTATTAATGATTTTCTTATTTCATTGAATCATTTAAATAAATCAGTTCAATCAATCAGCTCAATAAATCAGTTATCAGCTCAATAAATTATGAGCATATTGAAAAATTTTTATAGTAGTTATAAATTCAAAAAACTTGTTTGATTAATAATTTTACCTTGAAAAACAAAGGAAAATTATAAAAACGACCGAATGGTAAGCAGTTTTCATCCCGAAATGGAAGATAGCTTTTTTTTTTTTTTTTTTTTTTTTAATTTTTGTAAAAAATGATTAATGCAAGACTAAAATTCAATTGTTGTGTAAGAAATAATTTAAAAAAAAAGATTAGCTGTTATATTATATTACATACAATGAATTTAAACAACAAAATTTGAAAGTTAATTTTTTTGTTAAAAAAAATTAATTTTAACAATACAAACAATCCTTTATTCATTATTTTATAATCATATATATGTACCTTTTTAGAATATGCTAAAAGTTGAATTGCTTTGTTATATTGTTGAAAGACAAAAATATGCATGACCTTTCGCATGACCTTTTGTTTTTCGCATTTTTTTCTAAATATTTTATAATAATAAAGCAAATTAGATTAGTTATATAAGCAGATTCAAAGAATTGAAGTGCTAATTGTTAGTTTTTAAAATCAAATTAAAATTTTGCTTTTTTTTTCAAAAAATTATTTATCTAATTTTATTTAATAATTTACCTTATGATATAACATGACAGCTTTATCAGTTTGTCCAGGTATATTTTCATAGTATTGTGCTGCTTCAACTAATTCATTTCCACCAGCCATTAAAGCTAGATTAGCAATTTTATCCGTCATATTATTTTCCTGCACAATATTATATAGGAATTAATTACCTTTTTTTTTTTTTTTTTTTTTTGTCTAACTTTGACTAAATTAAATTATTAAATTAAAAAAAAAAAAAGATAAAACACAAATAGATTTGAGTTAAATTTATTAAAATTTTTATACCTTACAGATAGATCATAAAACCGTATAAATCCATTAGTACTAGCAATACATATCCAATTATTATTAATATCAATCATTATTGGATTACCTTCTATTTCGGGCAACGATATTACCTGTTTAACAGTACCCTAAAATTTTAAATATAATATTTTTTAGAATTTAGTAATATTTTCTATGATAATATTTAGTGAATATTTTATTCTTTATATGTGTTGCATGAGAATAAATTAAAAATATCTAAGCTTTTAGTCGCACGAGGCTACCGATTATTCTCGGTCCCTTGCTGGAAGTGTGTCGTGACTTCTGACCTTCCTGAAGGTTTGTCGTGCACTTCTGACCTTCCTAGAGTAGTGTCGTGCACTTCTGACCTTCCTAGAGTAGTGTCGTGCACTTCTGACCTTCCTAGAGTAGTGTCGTGCACTTCTGACCTTCCTGAAGGTTTGTCGTGCACTTCTGACCTTCCTAGAGTTGTGTCGTGCACTTTTGACCTTCCTAGAGTAGTGTCGTGCACTTCTGACCTTCCTAGAGTAGTGTCGTGCACTTCTGACCTTCCTAGAGTAGTGTCGTGCACTTCTGACCTTCCTAGAGTAGTGTCGTGCACTTCTGACCTTCCTGAAGGTTTGTCGTGCACTTCTGACCTTCCTAGAGTAGTGTCGTGCACTTTTGACCTTCCTAGAGTAGTGTCGTGCACTTCTGACCTTCCTAGAGTAGTGTCGTGCACTTCTGACCTTCCTAGAGTAGTGTCGTGCACTTCTGACCTTCTCGGAGGTCTGTCACGGACTTCTGAATGATCATGTGCTGAAGAACAGTATGGATAGAGGGCGTTATTGTAAAAGTTTACTTAACTTTCCTGAGGTCAAAGTGCTATTCTATTGATTGGCAGAGATGAATAATTGTGATAAATGTTTCATTAACTGATACCTCTATAAGGGGCATATAATATTGAATAAAGAGTTGATTAACAGGTTGTTGGGTTGATATGGGTGGAAGAGCACCGCTCATCGAGTGAACTCGAGAATTTTAAAAGACTGAGTTCATTTACAACATTTTTACAATCATCGATATATTTCTCTCTCATACTTTCTTTTTTTTTTTTTTTTTTCAGAAACAAAGAACCATTTGAAACGAAGAAATTTATTTACTGAATTTGTAAATGGAAAAAGGATTGCTTAAATAATCTATGAACAAAACAAATATTAGCAACCTTAATTAGTGTTTTATTAAATTTGACTATAACTTAGAGCAAGAAACTTCTAATATTGTAATCATAAGGTTGCATTTTAGATTATCTTAGAAGCATTTACGGCATGCTTTTTTTTTAGGTCAAATAATTAGTATATTCCTGATATAATTTAAGAAATTGTGGCATAATTTAGAATAACTAAAAAGAAAAAGAATTGCTAAAAAAAATCGAATGATAAACTTATCACTTTTCTATAAATTTTCATGATAAATAATAACAAATACAGTTATCAATTAAGTAAGAAACAGCAACATTTAAAGTTTATAAGCCTTTAAAAGTTATTTTCGTAATTTATTTTTTCAATTGAAAATTTTGAACTTAATGAATTTTTAAATGTTATAGGAAAAGATTTTTTACATGAATACGACATGTAAAAGTTAATAAATATTGCATTTTATATAAAGAAGAATATCTGGAATTTGTTTTTCTTATTTTAAATAAACATTCTTGCATTCTGTATTTGCTTTTTCATAAACTTATCACTTTATCACTTTTGTAATTAAAGCAAAAATAGTGATAACGAATACAAAATAGTTCCAACTATCAAAATTTAATGATTGGAGAGATCAATCAGAAAAGGCAGTCTTAATTTTTATGTAATAATACAACCTTTTGAGGTTAACAACTTTTACATAACTGATCATCTTTGTGGCTTATCAACTAGTAATTAGATTTGTTTGTAGATCAGATCAACAGCTCCTTGTCAGATCAATCTCTTATTGTAAATCATACACTTTGCTTATGCACATTGCTTACTATATAAGGAGATCATCCTACTTGCACTAAACAATTTTCATATTAATTTGGCCACAATTTACTTTTGATGATATTTTCATGCATAACATCCACGAAACTAATATTCAATTTACGACTTGTACTGATCACATTTTATCGATATACTTCTGTGTATCTTTTTGACATTTCATAAAAGCTTAAATTTCACTTTCAAATTCAGTTTCTCCGTTCAGCTAATCACCAACAATAATTCATTGCAAATATTTAAAAAACTTCCTATTAATTTCCTTATTGTACTCAAACATAAAAAATGTGACTATCGTATTATGATTGTCGAAAGAGATATCATGAAAAAAAAAAAAAAAAAAAAAAAAGGAAAAAAGCTAGAGTCAGATTCTAAAACGATGAGATTGTAGAGAGAAGATATCTTTGTGAATTCTGGTAATATATGCCCTGTCTTGAAGCTTTTATTTACATTTAGAAAATATATGAAAAAAAGAAAAATTGCTATTCAGCATTTGTAATTAATTATGTGGATTTTATGATTAAGTTTAAGTATTGCCTTAGCTTTGATATAATGTATGCAAAAAGTACATATGCAGTTTACTGACTGAACAATACATTAATACAGATATTATGATAACAGTACTTACAAACAGAATAGGAATTTATTTTCATTAATTTAATTCACAACATCCATAGATTATCATGTATATATATAGGAATGACTTCATTATTACAACCCGTGCACTCAAACTTACAACTTGATATCTTTACTTTCATGACATTCATATTTTCACATCCTAATTTTCCACTTTTTCTAGAAGGCAAATCATTGAATTCATGAAAAAAATGTTTAAACATGCTTTTTAACACATGCAGACTAGTCACTTTTCTTTAATTGCCAGCACAAACGAACAATAAACATCGTATACTTAGATATATTACATGAGATCACCTTTGCAGAATCAGTACAAAGAGAAACCGCCTTTCATGCACTATTTCTAACCACAAATCCAAGCAAAAAAAAAGAAAAAAAAAGAAAAAAAAAACGCTAGAAACACGATTCGAAATTTCTAAGATTATTTCATAAATAAATTAAACAATAAACACAATTCAGTTAGGAAGAGACCGTGGGAAATGAAATTTAGGTACGAAAATATTGCAGTCGCTAATATAAGTGCCTCTCAAGAAGATAAACTGCTCACCGAAAGCTTCAGCTAATTCAATGAGTGACGTATGTTTCTCGATGAATTTCAGAAATGTATCTGCATTTGTAGCATGACTCAGCAATTCCTCCATGAAACCACCATCATTAGCCTGCAGTCATTATGGCTTATTATTTATGTTGCACCACGAGAAAAACTTCCCCCTTCCTATCTGGAGTGTAAAAAGAAATAGCTAATTAGAATTTCTGTTCTCAGATTTAAATTTTGGAGTAATTTATCTCCACATTTTTTACTAGTTCTTGTTTGAAATCTAGGATATAGGTTTCTTTTTTTTTTTTACTCAAATAAGTAATGCTAATAAATTTCGACAAGTCAAGGAACGCTTACATTAATCAATTTACGCAATGTATTTACGGTAATGTTTTCCCTGGATTTTTCGTCGATATAACAAAGAAATTTAAGCATCTCAGTACGATATGTGTTGCTTGTCATCCGAACATGATTATCTAATATTTCGTAGAGATGTGAGCGGACAACGATAAAATCAACCATATAGGAATAATAAGCAAAAGTATCACTAAAAATAACAATCTAAAAATATGCAAAAAAAAGTGAAATTAAACTTTAAAAATGAAAATTTAAACTTCTTTCAGTTCAGACTCTATCATATGTATGAATAAAAATATAGAAGAATCTTCATGTTTCATTTCAAATTATTATAATTTATGTTCGTAGGAGTTAAAGCACTGTACACAAAGTTATGTCCAGCGGAATTACTGGCTAAATAAAAACAAATTCAACCGTAAATCAATGCAAACGTTACCCTTCAATAAGTTTGTTGAATATCTGTCGAAATGTTTTGGCGCCATCACGCAAACATTCATCCACCTCTTGCATTTTTCTTATCTCATCATGAATAACATCATTGTAAAACATCCAATAATTTGAGTTCATCTGCACATATGCCTCAGTATTGGCAGAATTCCTTCTAAATGCTCCAGCTTCTTCTGCTTCACCATTAACCGATTTTACCATAAACTGTGGACTCATACTGCGTTTATCGGACTTTGTTTTCAATGTTCGATTTGGACTACTATTAAATGATTTCATTTCGGTAATTTTTGCATTCCGCTGGTTAGAGTGTCCAATTTTGGTTACTGCAGTTCAGAATTACTAATGAACATTGGAAAATCATTCATCGTCGTATATCAATAATAATACAAATACTTTTTTTTAGAACTCTAAGAGATTAAAATTAATGTCGGAACAACACATACAAGTGCGGTCCTTCAGCTGATATTTTTCAAGCAATCTGTCCATTTTTCTTGTTTCTCCAACACACCATATGTCATCACGATCGTCAGCCAAAATCACTTTTGTAGCTGTCCAAGGATGACATGCCTCATATGCTCGATAAGCTATGATTTTCACCTGCAAAAAGGCCAATGAATATTTTTCATTTAAGTACATTTAGCTCCATGAATAATTGTTCAGCATTAAACAATTCTACTATAGCTGATTTTCATCTGTCTAATGAAAATTCTAACTACTTTCAATTGAAAGAACTGAAAAATCGGAATAAATCACTAAGAAAATTTAATATTTCATGTTTTACATGCGGAGAAATCAGATTCTTTATTTCAACAGTTTTAAATAACATCCAAATATTATAGGAGGTTAACTTACTAATGTCCCTACAGGATATTTATTTGCTAGATTCACTTCATTTGATACATTCTTGCTTAAGCCGAATACCGTCTGAGCCGTCCAAGGCCCTCGAATTATTTCAATTTTAATATACCCTGTGCAATTCATTGCGCTAACAACTTTGCCTATACCATCCAAAACAATACTTCTATCATATCTGAAAGCTCCCTCACTTCGGAAAAAATGAAATAAATTTAAAAACTTATGTCATTAAACTATTTCTAACAAAAAATTCAGATGCAATAAAAAATGGAAAATTTAACAATGATATATGGAATTCCAGCGCGGATTGACAGCATCATGACATCCGAATAAGAAATAATTTAAAGTGGTAGATTTATTATATGAATTGCCTACATCGGTGTTGATACTACTTCTGAAACCATCAACATTTCCATTACCTTATGCCACTGCCATAAGTGGGTAAAGCTCTACGTTCCCACGCTGATGGAATTTCCATGCATGCTGGATTGAGCATAACGGCATTGTTTCGGCATAAAATGAAAAAGTTCCTATGTTTCTCTAAAAAACGACGTACTTCTTTTTCCGTGTTACCAACTTCTCGTATAACTATCTGTAAATTACATTATGACAACAAAGTTAGCTATTTACTGATTAACAAATTCTTCTGTTCAATTTGTCTTTCATTATTTTTATCTACTGTTGTACAAGACTACGCACGCGTCCAAATATTTCATGATATAAAATCCTATATCAAAACCTAGCAAAATATAAATTTCATTTCTTAAAATATTATTCATCAATTAACAATCGGCACTGCCGATAATGACCATATTGAAAGAGCTACTCTCATAAAAACTTGTGAATGTACGATAGTATTAACTGACAGTATTAAATTTCTTGATAACTTGAGTTACAACATCCACATTACGCTTTGACTGATCAATGTCACATAGGAAATTTATTAAATATCCGAACATTTCGCGAAATTCTTGCGAATGATTCTTGACAAGATCGAAAGACACTTCAAAGACATTGGTACGTATCCCGATAAATGCCACTAGGTCATCCAATTTTTTGAAGTTATTATTCTGGAAAAGATAATACTAAAAGCTTAGGTAATGAATGAATTTCGAAAAATTTTAATAGCTAATAATAATGTTTCGTTCACAAATTTGAGTACGGATGCATTAGTTATGTGCTAGATCGAATATCCATTACATAAAATCCGACATTTAAAACTATCTGAAGGAAATATACTCAAAGTCATTACCTTATCAATTTTACTGACGATATCGTTCAAATGCTTTAATGTTAAAGCACCACTTTCAGCAAGGATTCGATCCAGTAATGCTACTTTTTGCAATTCGTTAACAATTTCTTGTTGAGTAAATACCGGTCTTTTACTTAAATCGTTCATCTAAAGTCAGCAAATAAGACTTCTGTCGTCGAAATTTACTGTCGAAATATTTTACATTTACTGTCGAAATATTTTACACATCTATTATTTATATGAAAATGACATATAGTATCAGGAAATGAAGTAATAATGAGGGAATGGCAGGAATGCGTCATAAATGAGAAAAGTCTAAGTAACGCACTACAGGACAAAAATAATATCAAAAAAACTTTCTAGAAACTATTTTTATTCATTAAAGGATAAAAATTACTTTCGGCACATAATATATTCCTTACCACGAAATAAATAGATCAAGAAATGTTGATTAACATTTCAATAGAAAAAATATCCTTTATTCTTTTATATTATCAGCTCACTTTTATATTTAAATCATATATTAACAAATTATTGCTGTTTATCTTGAAATCAACAAACTATCTATTAGAATTATATTATCCATTTCTTAGTTCTTTTGTTTTTTGTTTTTTTTCATAAAGATTATTTGCTTCGGAAATCAAATTAAGCAAATGATGTAAGCTCGAGATGACAGTAAGGTTATGTAAGAAGCGAATTTCCTACAACATTCACAGTGGAAATTACAATGGTACTATGGCACCTAACTACAATCATACTATGGTATCTAGTTACAGTGATAATATGGTACCTAAATACAATGATATTACAGTTGTGGTTTCACAGTGGGAATTACAATAGTACTGTGGCACCTAACTACAATGACACTGTGGTACCTAAATACAGCAACGCTACGGTACCCAATTACAACGATAATGTGGTATTAACTACAACAACACCACGGTACACAACTACAATGAAACCATGGTACCTTTAAAAATAAATTCACATGCATAACCGATAATTTCATAAATCGTTGCATATGACGAAAATGAAATATTCTGGTCCTAGCGGAGTGATTTTTTTTTCGATTCGAACAGATTTGTGAGAATTTTAGAAATTTCCCTCTTTTTGAATTAAGAATCAAGAAAAAAACAATTTGATGGTATGAAATAAAAATTATATAAATTATATATTTTATTTAGCTTATAATTAATATGAGAAAAAAGATTTTTTGATTAATTCTACGTATATTTATTTCATTTATTTGTATCGTTTACAATTGTTATATTTCGTGTTGATGCAATTTTATTACACTAATTTTATTAATTAGCTAAATTTATCATATGATGGATGAGCTAATCATAATACATGGAGGAATTTTTGAAGAACGAAAAAGTGAAAATAATAAACAAACAAAATTTTAATTTTAAACTTTTCTCATTATGTAAATACTATGATAGAGTAGTGATATTAGTTTTAAATGAATAAGTTAAGCCATTTTTTTTTATGTATTATTATAGGGATAATCTTATCTTCAAAATTAGAGTGATATGAATGAATTTTATTTTTACATTCAAGACTTAAATAATTAAAATTAGAATTTTTTTTCTTCTCTCAGAAGATAAAGAATTAACTATTCAATTTTGCATACAAATAATGAATGAATAGCATTATTGCACTCCATAAATTCAGATATTATTGAAAATTAAAATTTGATCGAATTATGAATTATTTCGATTCTTTCTTTTATTCCATTCTAATTACAATTAATAATTCTGAAATATGTTGAAAAAAATTTTAGAAATTTTATCAATATTTTGATTATTTGTGCTTGAATTTTAATTTTGATTATTTGTGCTTGAATTCAATTTTTCATGTTTATTTCCCTTTCAATGACTGTTGTAATTATCATTTCTCAAATGAATAAGATAATATTTTTTTTTTTTTTTTTTTTAAAGAAAAATCTTTATAATAGTTTAGTATTATTTTCATCACAAAAAACATCTGCTAAGTAATGTTTTTTCTTCTTTTTTTTTTTTCCCCTTTTAACTTTGCCCAGTTTATTTGCCCGCATTTTTAGGAGATCATAAATTTTAAATGGAAAATTTTTCGAGTGAAACAATTGGGGAAAATATTTATATGAAAATAAAAGCACATATATATGTATGTTTTCTGGTATTTAATTTGATGAGAATTATGAATTAATTTGAAATTTTTGTCAATATCGAAATGAAATACACAAAAAAAAAAAAAAATAAAATTATGAATAAAAACTTTCTAATTAATTAATTTGACACACACACACACACACACACAGACACATGCACACATACATACATACACATGTACGTATGTATGTATTTACAAGTATAAAAGTTAACAAAAGTGAAAAAAAAAAAAGAATTTTAATTTTAGCTGAATCATTTTTCTGTATATTTATTATTTATATCAAAAATCATTTTTTCACCCATAAAAAAAAAAAAAAAAAAAAAAAAAAAAAGATTCAATAAAATAAAATTCCATTTCATTTTATTGAATCTTTAAAAATTTTCATTTCTTTTCTTTCTTTATTTTTTGAGAGAGTGAAAGAAAAAATAAAACAAAAGAAAAAAGAATTTTAATTGTTCGAAGAAAGAAATAAAAATGAAAAAAAAAAAAAAAAAAACAAAAAATTATGCTTAATTTAAATAATGTTAAAATTTTTCTTTTTCAAAAGTAAAACTTTTGTTCCCTAAGAATTAGTTTGAATTGATAAAATGTTTTGTGTTATGCCAATAGCAGTAGATGAAATGAAACAACTGTTTTTAACTCTTTCATTTCACTTTTCATGGAGCTTTTCAATGCTAATGCTGTAAATAAAAATTTTTTTTTTTTTGTTTTCAACATTTCAATTTTTCAATTTATAAATTATTGAATTTTCCGCTTCACATTTTCTCTTCAAATTTATTATTATTAAAATGAAAATGAAAATGAGCTGAAACAAATAATTCAAATAATACTACAAAAAATTATTTCTACTATCATTGCAAGAAATGAAGGAAAAAAAAAGAAAAAGAAATAAGCAAAATTTGATAATTTAAATTGTTTACTTAAACTGATCAGAGTGTTTACAAAGTGATATAATCTTTACATATAATATTTAGTGATAATTTAAATTTAATTTTTTTTTCCTCTGCTAACTATATTCATCCTTGAATGAATAAAATTTAGAAGGAAAGTAAATATTTATAATTGTATTTTTTCATATATATTAATTATTCCAGAACTCTTAGAATATTGTTTTTATCATTAAACTTTTACTTCTATTTATACTTCTACTTTAATTTACCATTTTTAAAATAATTATTTAATTTTTTTTTTCACCGTTAGTTATTATAATTAAAAAGGTTCTTTATCATAAAAAATTTTCATTAAAAATTTCAATTGTTTTAAATTTTGGAATGTTGTCCTTAATTTGGTGTATTTTTTAAATATTTTCAAAAATTCATTTCTTTTTTTACAAAAAAAAAAAAAGTAAAATAATCAAAAATATTTATCCAAAATAAATTTTTTTTTTTTTTAATCACAGAAATAATTTTAATACTATCAGTTAAATTTTACTTTTTTTTTCAGAAAAAAAAAAAAAAAGAAAAGAGAAAAAAACTTATCGTTTTTCATTTTTCTCTCTTTTTTTTTTTTTGCTGAAAAAATAAGATTTGTTAGAGATGAAAGTAGAATAACAGTGATATCTTTGCATCATTTTATTTTTGTTTTCTTTCTCGTTTTTTTTTTTTTTTTTAAAAAAAAATTTGAACTTATGAAAAAGCTAAAGAAATAGATCATTTCGTATATATTTTATACTTAAATACTTAAATTATAAATTTCATTAATAGATGAAAAGGAGAAGAAAAAAAATTGTTAAAGAATGAAATGAACGAATCAATGAAAAATTCAATTTGAAATTTTCTTCTTTCCTTCCTTCCTTTTTTTTTTTTTTTTTTTGCTTTGCTTTTGTTTTTTAATTTGAGAAAAAGATTTGAAAAGTTAAAATTGTCATTAATATTGCATACATTTTTATGATAATAGTTAGAATAAAAATGTGAAATTCATATGAAAAACAAAGAGAGAGAGAGAGAGAGAGAGAGAGAGAGAGAAGAAGAAGAAATGTGTATGAGATTTTTATAATAACAACTGTTAAATTGTTAAAAATTTCAATAAAAATATTACAGAGAATAATTTTAAGAAAAGTAAAAGTAAATGAGAAAAAATTTGAAAATAATAAATAAATATTATACATATTAATACAAATTTTATTATAATAATAGTTTGAAAAATAAATAAAAAAATTTTTTTTTTTTCTTTTTTACCTTTTGATCGAAATTATTATTATTATTAAAGTTAAGAAAGTTAAGAAGAGAAAAAAAAGAAATTTTTTTTTTTAATGTAATATACTTCCGCTGGAATGAAAAAAAAAAAAAAAAAAGTTTACAAAGTTGAAAAAAAGAAAAAAAAAAAAAAAATGTAAAGTAAAACTAATCATTCATTTCTTCTTATTTTTTGTTCTCATATTATTTCTCAAAATATTTTCTTTCTTCTTTTCTCTTTCCCTCTCTCTCTCTCTCTCTCTTTTTGCTTTCTTGTTTGTCTAATTGTATGTATTTGAAAAAAAAGAAAAAGAAAAAGAAAAAACTATTTAAAATGTTAAAGGAACTTAGGTTGTTGAAGCAGCTAAATAGTTTTTAGCATCTTTCTACTTCATCCTTCCCTCCATCTATTCATCCATCCTTCCTTCATGGCTTTCTTCTTACTACCAAACATTTTAAATATAAAATTTAAATTCATTTTGTTTTGCTCTCGGAAACAAGGAGGAGGAGGAAGAGGAGGGGAAGAGGAAGAGAGGAGAGAGAGAGAGAGAGAGAGAGAGGAATGAGGTAGTAAAGGTTTAAATTGAGCTCGAGCTTTTAGTTCAAAATTGCTGATGATGATACAGCTGTTGTATTAGAATGTGTGAATTAGTTTAGTATTTGTGTATGTATGTATGTGTCTGTCTACCTATATGTATGTGTATGTGTATGTATGTGTCTGTGTATATATATAAATCGTTGTATGTTGTAAAGTAAAGGATTTGAAGTGAGAATGAAAAGTTTATATTACATTTCATTTCACTTTACGTTAACTTTAACAAT